ATCCCGCTTTAGCTTTTAGCTCCACTTATGCGGAACTACGCGGATACGATTTACGGAAGGAGAAGGGTCCCCATTTGTCGGCGGAGTCACACGCTGCTAGTTAGGTCGTCGCTCGGCGGACCACTTACAACGAGTTGCCATGTTCGCAGTTAAGGGGAAAAAAAAAAAGCGAGGCAAAAGGAAGTCAAGCGAATTAAAGTGAAGTCAAGCCAATTAAAACGAAGCAAAGCTAAACCAAACAAGTCACCCACGCTTCACTTTCTGCCCCTTGCCTGTTGCACCAAAACGGAACAAACATACAGATCATCGCCCTGGTCGAGTAAAGCCCCCCCGCCCGTCAAAACATGAATTTTAACAAACCGGAGTCCACGAAGGGAAAGGGGGACAAAAACTCCCTTTCCTCAAAGCTGATTAACAAGGTAAAGGAACGTGTGCCTTCAGGTCGCTCGCGAATGAGCTCAAAGGAGAAAAGAGTTTCTTCTTTTCCACTTGACACTGCGAAAATGATGCATGTGGGGAAAATAATGGAGGGGACACTCCTTCCCGATCTGTATGCCCATTGGGATCTGCGGCAGTACTTGCCAGTACACGCCAGCATGCCCACCTCCCCGTGCCTCACACTTGCCGCCAAACTCACCACCACTTTTTGCAGACGTATGTCCTGTCAATTCACCTGTGCGATTACATCATAAGGCCACTCATGTTTTATTGCTTCACGCCATTCATATTTGGATACGGACTTTACTACAATGACGAGTTTACGCTGAACCCCTTTAAACTAATCCCCAAAATATTGATAGGCTGAGGGGGGAGCCCAGGGCGCGCGTACATTGGAGGTGCTCCCGTGCACAGGTAGAAGTATTGTTTGTGTGCTGATATAGAAGAATCATAGCATCATGCGTGCGCACAGTTAGAAGCACAGTCGTATCTTTCGTGAGCACAGTTAGAAGTACCATGGCAGCATGCGTGGGCACTTGCGAATCGTGTAAATTATTATTCCGCCGTGTTGCCCCTCATGTGTCGCCAGCATGTAAACAGACACCTGCTGTTTTTTAACTCCCCGACACATGTATCCGGTGGTAATTCATTCGTATGTGTCCTCATTTTTTTTTATTAAATAAAACTTACAGGACGCGGATTAATTTCACGCCGCAATTAAAACGAACCTTTGAAACAATTTGAAGGAAAAGCGAAAGAGGCGGAAAAAAGTGGCAACCATATTGATTTAAAAAAAAAAAAAAAGAAAGCAATTATATCCACTCAACGCGTGAATTAATCTGTTTACTGTCACTCTTAAAGGTTGAGGAAATTATTGTAAAAAAAAAAAAAAAAAATTCAAACATGAAAATGCAAGTAGACCTTCCGTTCTTCCGTTTGCAAAAGTTTGGGGACATCGTTCTACAACTTTGGTTAACTCCATATTGATAATTTTTTCTGTTAAGATATTTTCCCCAAAAGCATTTACCGCTTCTTTTTAACTAGGCACGTCGTACTTGTAGGAACAGAAAGGGGCCATAGGGATGGCGATATTCATCACTGTATGGCTGCTCACAACTTTGTAAAAAAAAATATAAGACCAACTTTTGTGACTAATTCGGGGGAGTTCGGATCTGTCAGAGAAAGGATAAAATTTGGGAAACAATCATTCTCCACCCACACCCCCTGGCCACTAACTAGATAAGAAAGCTGTAAACGAACAGAATAAACCACACCATAGTAGGACAGCGTTACATACGCACCACGCACCTCCCCCCGGCTTTACTTCCCCTAAATGATCAAGAAACTCCTTTTGATGCAGGCTGCGATAAGCCTTGTGATCCGTTCCTCCACGAAAAAGTTAAAGAATGGAGAACAAATCCTCCGAAGAAGGTGTGCTCTGCTTAAGGGCATGAAATACAAAACGGGCAGAGCATCGTTTGCACAGCCAATCAGTTCGTCTTTAAAAAAGAAAAAGTACAACACACGGGAAGCACACGCGACAAATGAAATTCTCATTTTCGACTTGAGCGAAAAGCTTATAAATTACAAACTCGCCTTTGAACTGCAAAACTGGTTGCATCAATCCAAAATTAATTTGCAAAACGGAAACAAATTCCCTATACGTTCGAACATACCCCAATTGGTGAAAGTTAAAATTAAGAGGTTTGAAAAAAATCTTAAAAAATATGATTTTTGCTTCATTCTTCAGCACACTCCATGCTATACCTTGGGCAGCTCAGCACACCTGGGTGACATCCTCCTCGATAAAAAGAGTTACTACATTGAGGAGTTAGGGGACATATACAACACCTTCGACGAAAGGAGCCTTTCCCAATTTGTTACCAAACAGGGATATATTAAAAGCGAAATAGACGAGAGCGAAAATTATGATGAAGGGAAAAACTATTTTGACAGCTTTTCACAAAATGCAGATAATGTGAAAATGCCGATATATCGTATTAACAGAGGAGGAAAGACAACATACCATGGACCGGGGCAGCTAATCTTATACTTTATTTTAGATTTAAAAAAGTATCCCTCTAACCATAGCCAAAGGGGTGTCTCCCATTCGTCCCAACGTAAGGATCATTACGAGGGGGAACACCCTAAAATGGAGGGACACAACGAGGAAACGCTTCCACACCGATGCAACGCGAACCTAAATGCAAAGACAGAAAGTTCGTTTGATATACACAAAACAGTAAATAACATCCAAAAAATTGGAGTCGAAACTTTGGGCAAATTTAAAATAAAAGCACATACTAAGGAAGATTCCATTGGTGTTTTTCACAAAGATAAAAAGCTTATTTCAATCGGTTTGAAAATAAGAAAATACATATCTATGCACGGAATGGCTTTAAATTTCAACCTTGACAGGAACTTTTTGAAATATTTGCTTCCCTGCGGCATGAGTCACGCTGATTACACCTCGATGCATGAGCTGGATGAAGTAAAATATAGAGATAAAACAGGAGTCAGCCAGAATCCCGAACGAGAAAGCGAAATGGCTATCCACTCCTCGCTCCTCAACGAATTAGTAGTTAACTGTGTAGACTCACTAGGAACCATTTTTAATGCCAAGGTGAAGATTTCGAGCGATATAGGCGACCTTTTTGCTTAATTGTTTTGATTTGCCTATTTGTAGCAATGGCCATGAAGGGACACATTTCAGAAGAAGCATACGAAGTTCGATGGGAGAGGGGGAAGTGTAAACACCCAAATGTGAGCCTTCATAGGTTTAGCAATTTGCCCTACGAATTTGCTTAAATTTCAATTTGTAAAAAAAGTTCCCTATAAATTTTTTTTTCAAAATGGCTACCTGTGCAGCTTGACAAAAAAAAAAAAAAACATTCGCATCAACAAGTCACAAAAAAAGTGCACACACCAAACAGTTGTGTAATCCAAAAGTGTTAGAAGAAAACTACAAGGCTCAGATCAACTGTGCTCATTTTCAATGGTACTAAACGAAGAGTTGTCTATCGCCCTGCAAGTGGTCAATATTTGTTGCTTCCGACGTGAGCGCAGCTCTCTAAGGGGAACATAAAATATGTATTCCACATGAACATTTAGCGTAGAACATTTTCGTGACCGTGCTGCAAATCTTCACTTGAAATAAATGGCCTTATAGGTAGCCAAAGCGGGTGTGTATATGCATATTTTTTTTTTTTTTTTTCCTTTTTTATTTTTTTTCTTTTTTTGGCTTTAAACGTGAACATAGCGTTGTTTTTACCTGAACGAGCTAGCCACGTGATTTAAATCATTCTACATTTTGAACCGTGACAAGCGTGTGTACATGCAAATGTATAAAAAAAAAAATGTACATATAAATAGTACATAAAAAATGACAAAACATAATGGATGCACAAAATGAATAAACAAATTGAATAAACAAAATTAACAAAAAAAATGAATAAGCAAAATGAATAAACAAAATGAATAAACAGAATGAACAAACAAAATAAATTACAAAAAACTTCTTTCGACCAGCTGAGAATACGTTTCACTCACGTTTGATTTAAGTAACCTCCGCCGTCTTGTGCCATCAGTTCACCTCTTTCCATTCTGTTATCCCCCCAGGAAACCACGTTTTGTCACATTTTCCGCAAAACACTGTGGGATAGCGTCTGCGAAGTGTTTACATGGCATTTACTCGCTGTTGTCTTCTTTTAAAAGCATTTTTTTCCCTCCATCATCTTGTAAAAGAGTCATTTTAGTTAACACCTTTGTTAGCACGTATTTGTATAAGCATATTGTTTAAGGCGCACCTGGGGAAAACCTTTTTTCACCCCCAATCGCCTATACACTTTTGTGCGAGAGCCAGTTGGATCCCTTTTTTTTTTTTTCTTTTTACCTTGTCAACTGCCTCAACGGTTAGCAACATTGCGGGATAGAGCCACAGAGAGATATCTTCCTTGTTGTATAAAAATATTTGACCATTTTTATCTCAGCTCATTTTGTCTTTGTCGTCCCCCCCAAAAAAAGAGCAGTAAACCACGCACGCGCATGTATACATATATCTACTTGTTTGCCAATTTTCCTGTTCTGTACTCCTCCTCCTTGTGTCTGCAAAATGGAACACCCTGCAGTGAAGACGGAAAACATAGCCCACACGGCGAACACGGAAAACTTGTCCAACGCACCCAATAATGTCCCGTACACCTTCGAGCACTCCAGAAACCTGGGCAACAAAATCCTTAAGCCCATACGCCAGGAAAAGATCGTCAAGGTGCCCGTGACCCAGTATGTGGAAAAAATCATAGAGAAGGAAGAAATCAAATTCGTCAACAAATATGTCGATGTCGTCAAACCAATAATCACTTACAAGACGAAGCACATTTCCAAGCCAATCTATTTAGACAAAATTAAGTATGAGCCCAAGCTGATAGAGAAGGAGAAAATTATACACATCCCAAAAATAGAGTACAGAAATAAAATCGTAGAAATACCTGTGTATCTTCATAAGCAAAATATCATAGAGAAAAAAGTCCCCCTAATCATTGAGCGAGTTATTCCTGTCCTGAAGGTCAAAAAAATCGAGAAGGAGGTCCTCACAGATGTGATCGAAATTCCTTCAATCTGCGAAATGGCTAAAAGGGAGAGAATCATAAATAGTAGTACCAAACAGGAATATACAAACAGGGTGATGGTCCCTCAGATGGCAAGGGGAGTCTCCGACAGAAATAACTTTTACGCAGTAGCAGAAGCGAACGAAAGCCAGGATATGTACAATAAGGAAACGTACAGAAATATGGAGTCTCGAAATGATACTTGTTCCCCCGCTGTATATTTTCCAGTGCAAATGTTCCCGTCCACCGAAATGGAGAAGTTTAAAGGACCACATCGGGGAAGTCACTCCGTCGTGAGAAGCGAATCGGATGAAGACTCCTGTGGGGGGAAATTGGAACATAAAAATGAAACCACGTATAATGAGGCCACGCATGAGGAGGGTGAGGAAGGTGAAGACAGGAAGCAAGGTGACAACTATGGAGACGCCGCGGGAAATGCGGAAGGAACGCCTAACGAGGAATATTTATCCAGCGGGCAGGACCTACACATCGGTCAACGGCTACACGACGGTGAATCCATATCGAGGGAAAACGCACAAGGTACAGTGCAGACCGGGCATTACAGAGAAGACGATCTGTATAAGAAGTCGAATATCACGCATGTCAGCATACACCTTCCCACAACGAAGGAGGAGCTTCGTGAGGCTCTCCAACGGAATTCTTCCAACGGAGGGGAGGGCAGTTATGGCGTGTCTTTGAACCAGGCAACGGAGGAAAGGAGCGGCAGCAACCGGATAGCTAGCAGTGGTGCGAGCAACCTGCGAAGCGGAAACAACGGATACGCTTCGGATAACCACCTCTTCACCTACAACCACAGAGACGGCAGAAACGGCAGATACAACGAGTACAATATGAACCAAGTGATGAGCGAGCAGCTAATCAGAGAGTCTTTTAACGACTCCAGACGAGACATGTCCAAGTCAGTAGAAGAGAACGTCGGCCAGGGGAACTATTACTCGGATGTGAAGGGCCGAATAGAATCTCAGCAACATAACCTTTCCGTGCCATCCAACATCCACGTGTATAAGGAAAACTACTCTTCATCTCAGAACGTGTACAGAAATGAGTCCGGGAAAACGCGGTCAAACTTTATGCCTTCCTATGCGAACAGCAATGGGCAGGCAATTGTATCCGTGCGCCCCGCCACCATTTTGGAGTACGTCCCCAAGCAGACGAAGGGCAAGTCGCGCTTCTGCAGCTTCCTAAACAGGTGTTGCGGCGAGGAGTAAGTGCACAAGGGGGGCTGCAGTTACGGTTTCGGTTTCGGTTGCGAATGCGGTTGCGTTCCCATTGCAATTGCCTCGCGCTTACCGAGGCGTTGCCATTTTGCCCCCAGGTGCATAGACGCCGTTCCCCCTCTGCGTCCACTTCTCCGTGAACAAAATAAAACCATGAAAAACTCTTCAAACGCGAAACATAGAAGTTGATCGAAGGGGCACGAACTCTTCGCGTCTCCCTTCTCCCTTCCCCATGCGTTCAAAATAACGGTAAAAAGAGTAAAGCAACTATAGCGTATGCGGTTACAGTAGGGAGGGGTAATCAAACATTACAATGGCTTCGCCCTGTGAGAGGTGAAACGTCAAAGTGGTGCCACTTAAAAAAGTCAAACATCTGCTGTGAGGCAAAATCACAGTTTTGTAAGAATAAGGTGTTGAATATGTCTTAATAAAAGAGCCTCAACAGGCTTGGAGGGGGCAGTTTCAGGTGAGTGGGAGGTAGAGACCACACAGATGAGAGATGCCTGGTCATCGGAACAAAAAAAAAAAAAAAAAAAAAAAAAAAAAAAAAAAAAAAAAAAAAAAAAAAAAAAAAAAAAAATAAAAAAAAAAAGGAGAAAAGGAGAAAAGAAAAGACGCAAAAATACAGCCACCTCCGCTTTAAGGATACCTGTAGACACGCACGCGCGTCTCTCTGCTTGCCTGTATCTTGCGCAACTAAAACATTAATAATGGTACAAAATTGAAAAGACGAGAAGGCGAAAGGGCGAAAAGTCTAACTTTTTAGAAGCTCGAAGGGGCAGTCCTCCTTGGAATACGTGACCGCGCTCTGTAACTTGGTGTCCCACGTTAGGGACTTCTTGTACGTGCTCTTTTCTGTTAGAGGGGGGGGGGAAAGGTGTCGCGCGGTGTGCAAATTTTTATCACATTGTGTTTTGTTCTGTTCCGTTATGTTCTGTTATGTCATTTTCTGTCTCGTTTTGCCTCACTTTGTTTCTTTTTACTTTTCTTATATGTGCTTACTTGACTTGAGGGAACTGCGCGCGCTATGCATGTGCAATAAGTTAAACCGTCTTTGCCCCAATTGCTCGCCTGGGTGGACTGTTGGCCTGAACGCGGGTACCTTATTCGCATCGTACCCCCTCAGGGGAGATGCATCAGGCACATTCTCTGTTGCATCCTGGCTACCCAGAAAATCGGGAACATCTTGAAATGGGTATTCATATTCGTCCGCCAGTCCGTGGTCCTCACAGGAGTCCTGTTCTTCGCTCAGCCCGTGCTTGTCTCGTTTGTCCTGCTCACCTGATAAACTTTTGTATTTCCAACACAGGCCATTCTTGGATGGGTCGTACTGCATGTAGTCATTTTCGCCTGCTGGTATGTGCGTGTGTGTGTGGAGGGGGGGAACGACAACATAGCGGTTATGTAAATGGGAGAACCGAGCGAAGGGGGGCCAGTAGGACGGATCACTTCCCCAATTGGTATGATATCAGGGGTAGGCATAGCAATGCATTCACCGCAGTGGAGTCATCACAACTGCGCAGTCTGCCCTTTCCCCCGAAGGGGCGAATTGTTACTTGTACTCGCGTCACGGATGGAATCGATGGTGGATTGACTGAAGGAGGAAAAAGTGGAAACAGAAATAAGTGAGCAGTGGATAAAGCATTGGGCTTCTTCCATTGATGAGTCTACTTCCTCGGCAGCTACTCCCGCTTCAACCACTGCCATCAGCGGAGAAAATGGATATAGCCATATTTTAGGCATTGGTTTGCTGAAAGTAGAGATGGACATTTATGCATCTCTGCGTAGTTCCTTCTGGGGGGAGAAGGGACTGCCTACTTGGCATCGTATAGATCGCCCCAACGATAGGACCCTTACTTGAAGCAGCTGGATGAAGTGAGAGAATCCTTCGACTGGTATTTGAAACAAATGAATCGCTTAACCTTGTCAATAATCTTATCCTTCTTACCCAACTTTTTTCGAATTAACGAATCGATAAAGAAAAACTCATGAGCATATTTCTCCATGAGCTCGTTAAATATTCTCATGTATGTATACACACTGAACACATTTTGGACATGAGCTTTTTCTGCTCCAAATAGCACCGTCCGGATTGCTGCCGTCAATTTATTGTCATAGGAAAATGATTCATACGCATGGGCTGCCTTCTCACATGTGTAAATAATCTTCTGCTGACTCTTCTGCTTGTATGCTAGGTATAGGCTGTGGGCTGGGTGCACAATTTTGTCGTTCCTTGAGATTATATATATTGTGGGGATGGTGATATTTTCAATGAAGAAGATGGGGCATATGTTTTCTATGTCGTAGTGGAACTTTTTTTTAATTTTCCTTTTAGCGAAGTAGAGGCAGATGTTTTTAAAAATGATTTCTCCCTTTCCCTTGGCGCTCAGGTGGAACGTCGTTTTGTACAGCTCGGTTAGGGACACGTAGGGGGAGTCCACGATCTGCGGCGAGGGGGAGCAGGGGGATACTCGCGTGGGGAGGTCAGACGGGTGGAAACATGTCGAAACATATTGCAACAGATCGCGACAGATCGAAGCGGATCGCAACATATCACAACGGGTCGCAACACATGGCACCGCTCCACATCGCGGTGCTTGACACCGGCGGCCCCCTCCCCCTTACCAGCAACTTAATGTTGGCGTCCAGAGACGCCGCAATGATGGAGCTAACTGCGCCGGAGTACTTCCCCCAGAGGGCGAAGTTCTTCACGTGTTCTACATTCCTCAAATGGTGCAGAATCAGAAACAGATCCTGCGATTCATTCCATCCACTTGTAGAGAAATAACCATCGGATAAACCACACCCCGAGCAATCATAGGAAAAAATGGAACACTCACATATCAGCAGAATGTGCAGGATGTCCAAGGCCTCCAGCTGGCAGCTACAACTCGAATGAGTGTAAATAACACAAGGTGTATTTTCATTGTAGTTAAAAGGAGTAAAGAAACAGCACTTGAGCTTTTCCCCTCGGCGATTGTTAATAATCATGTCCCTCCTGTAGTAATTTTTTCCATTAAAGTGAAGGAAGATGGGTCCAAGAAACTCCTCATCATACTTATCTCTCGGGTGCCTCAAAAAGAACATTAGCAATTCATATAGATGAAACATGTTTCTTCATTTCTGCGAGTCCTGCCCCCACAGGGTAAAGAGGTGGGTGCGTCCGCCTGGTCACGAGGGGGGCGTCTGCTTCGTCCGTGTTCTCGTCCGTCTGCTCCTTTGTCTTCCCATGCATGTGCGTGCTACGCGTTATACCTTGTCTGTTGTCTTCCTCGCGCCAATTGGGGGGTCCCAGAGGGGACGTTTCTCCGCTTGGCGAGCCCCAGTTCACATGTGGGGTGCATACATCCATGTGCACGCGCGCACAGGTGCTAACTCTTCCCAGAGGTTACGTGGCTCATTCGAAGCAAAACCGTTGCACCCAAGTGTGGGGGAAAAAAACAGTCGCATTTCATTCAACATTTATCTGCAGAAAATGTTGGGAATAAAACTCCTTTGGCTAATTATACCTCTCCGCGAGTCTTCCTCCTAGCTGAAGGGGCTACGTGAGCAACCACCCCAGAAAGAGAGGATCTCACTTTTATGATGCCTCTCTGTGTACCACACTGAAAAAAAGGGGTCAATTTTCTAATTTCTGTTTACACCCCCCCCCTCCTCTTTGTTTCCTTTTTTTTTTATGTTCATGTAATTGATCCCCTGTTTGACGTATATACATGTAGGTAGCCTAAAACTGTAAAAGTCCTCTCACTCGTCCTTTGATTACCATTTTTGTGGTTGGGTCTGGGGGAGCTCTGCAGCACACGCACAACGGAGCCTCTCTATTCAAATGTGGACCTATTGGGGCTTCCTTACACGGGGGCGACGGTGTAGAACTTTTTTCCCAACTCGCCTGAACGACTCACTTGAACGAATCAACTACGACGCGCAAGCTAAGGATGGCTGGTCGTCCAATTTTTGTATGCCCAGTTTTTGTGCCCAATTTTTGTGCGCCCAATTAATGGCCATTTGGGGGAATCGCCAAAGGGATGAGCTGGCTCATTTTGCAGCATCAAAAAGGAAAGGGTCACACACATGGTGTCGTTCCAAGGGGCAGCCAAATGGTGAGAAAAATACAACGCTGCAAAATTGGATAAGACAAGAGAATACCAAACTGGCACGTAAAACCTGTGATGAAATATTTTAAATATTTTTATTTTTCTAAATGTTAAAATTTGAGAAAAAAAAAAAAAAAAGTGTATTTCTTCTTTTTTTTTTTTTTTTTTCTTTTTCTTTTGCCGCGTCTTTGCACACCGTTTGAAAAAAGGGGCAGAACTGGGGGAAAAATGCAGGCGGGAAATTTTCACAAAATAACGTAAAAAATGGGAAAAAAAGAAAAAAAAAACACCAGCGTGAATGCGGAATGCTCTTGGCATATACTACATGGAAAAACGAAACATCAGAAAGGGGGAAGAGAAAAGAAAAAAAGAGGGTGACACGGTGTGGGACGCGCATCAACGCCAACATGAGTGGGAGCAGCAAAGCGATACGTTAAAAAGCAAGAACAGCTGGCGTAACGGGGTTGGAAGGCGCGTCCACATCCTCCCCCCTGCTAATGAGCTTAGGTAAGGGCGAATGCAGGAGTATGAGGGGGGAGGGGATCGCTCGAGGAAAGGTGTACCACTGCACGATCATGCGCTTATTCGTATGGACAAATGTACTAACATATGTACAAGTAAATACATATGCACCGTTGGTAGTCTTCTCAGTAGGCGACGCAAAAGGGAAGGTCTCCTTGGTGTAGTAGCTCTCCCCTGAGATAGTGGTTCATTCTTTAACAAATATGTTCCGGTGACACCCCCACCATGTTGTTCTTTCTTCTTAAGTATTGCTCCAGATATTACTCCAAATATTACTCTACTCCAAAAATTATCAGCTCACTTTCCTCCATCACTTATGCACTCATACTTGGGCCAAATAAGCGCCTGCAGCTCGTTGGCGTATTTGAAGTAGATCGTCGTGGGGGCGTTGTACAGGCGGCAGTTATCAAACATGCGCTTCAGCTCAATTCCGAAGTCCTCCTTGGTTTTGTACTCGCCCTGCGGAGGGAAGAAAGGCGCACAGGTTGGTCAAATGAAGAGGTGTACACAGAGAGGCAGCGGGGTAGGCGCAGGCATGGAGCGGCTTTCCACCAGACGGGCGAAATCGCCCATGTCCGCTTCACATGCCTACTTGACATGCCTCCTTGACATGCCTACTTGACATGCCCGCTTGGCATGCCCGCTTTTTACATCCTCCCGCACGGTAACGTACATGTCTGGCCTTCCTCCTCATGGTCAAAATATCCGTGGGCTCCTTTATAATGTCATAGTAGTCGGGGGCCTCCGACAGGCTCACAGGTTTGAGGAAGGGCCAAGCGGACTGCTGCTTTTCGAGGAAGTCCAGGACGCCTAAAATTTGGTCCTTTAGCTGTACATCCTTGTTTTGCGCCTTCTTTGGGAAATACTTCACTTCCTTTTTCCATCCGACTTCCAGCAGCCCCGGGATGTTACTCGGGTGAATGGGATTATTAACTCCTTTATTTTGCACAAAGAAGTTGAGCCCCTTAAAAATGATTTGTGGCTTAATAAAATGAATGGCCTTCTTTACGGTCTTTTTCTGCTCGTATAACATCTCCGATAGTCGGAGGTAATTTATGTTCGGGAATATATAGCACTCCATTAGGGTTCCTCCGTCGTAATCCTTGATGTAACCGAACCATCTTTCCTTGGGCATGGAAATCTTCTGTGAGAATCCCTGCTTGCGGAAGTATCCGATGGCGAAGTTGTCTGCAAGGGGGAGAGGGGCAGCGTGGTGAAAATGAGAAACGCGGTAAAGATGTGCAGAGTGATGAAGAGGAGCAGCACGGTAAAGATGAGAAACGCTGTAAAGATGTGCAGCGTGGTGAAGATGAGAAACGCTGTAAAGATGTGCAGCGTGGTGAAGATGAGAAACGCTGTAAAGATGTACAACTCAACAGATCGGAGTGCTCCCCCCGATGGCGCCGAGACCTACCCGCATACGTCAAGAAGTACTCGATGCCGAACTTTTTCACATGCTCCTTCAGATGGTTCATCAACCTCGTGCCGTAGCCCTTCACCTGTTCCGTAGAGGTAACTGCGAGAAAGGCTATTTCAGCAAACCTCTGCTCAAAGTAAGGCCTAAAACAGACTCCCCCAATTACCGTGTCCTTTTTTAAAAGACAAAAAGTGTAATGATTCCGATCGAAGACTAACCGAACGATATACTCTCGAGGCATCTTCGGTAGCTGTCTGGAGAAAATATTTTTCAGAGTAATCAGTTTGATTAAGTGATCGGGTTCTCTGTCATTCGTTATGCACTCGAAGGTGATGATGCCCATGTTTTCTTCTTTGGCTCCTCCTGCGTCTCGATGCAGGTATCCAAGGCCGGTTTCAGATGGCAAGAGGGACTACAGGTGGGTGGTGGGGGAAATGTCGGCACAGAGGTGTAAGTGGGCACAAATGAGAGGCACAAATGGGAAGCATAGAAGGGGTGGTACTCCACGCAGTGTTCTCAAACGAAAGGGTACAATGAGCCACTCTTCAGCGGAGCTACTCGGAATAGATCCTCGGAACGGCTTCTCCTTGGAACCACTTCTCATCGCTGCTCCCCCTCACCTGCAACTTGTTGCTCTGCTTGGCCGCATTGATGAAGAGCATGTGGGCGACGTTGGCAGACAACCCGGCCTCCAGGCAGAGGTTCAGAAAAAAGTATTTTATTTTCTTCTTCACGGCGGTCTTCTTTAAATCCTCAATTATGGTCACATAATTGCACAGCAAAACGGTGTAGAGAAAATCCCTGGAGAAACACATGCTGATAACATTGCCACTGGATTGCTCTTTCCGCAAAAACGTTTTCCACTTTGAATAAATGGTCTCATAATTCGGATCATAAATCAAATTGGGTTTGCTTAATCTGTTGTTCACTGGCATGAGCTGTTGCAGATTTATTATGGAACATATGCTCTTGGTTATTTCGGTCAAGATGTACTTGTTGTTTTCGTCCTGTTCGCGCTCCAGCCTGCCCCGATCATTGGCGGCATCATTCGCCCCAGCATTTCCCCCATCATTGGCAGCACCTTTGCCGCTATCACTGCTGACGGTGGCAACCTCCCTCACTTGCACCGCGTCCACCTTGTCCTCATTCCCGTTATTAACACTGATGTTCTCACTTGGGAGGTCTTTTTTATCCGTCTGACTGGGGGAGCCCTCACCCTTGAGCTGCTCCTCTGGGACCATCACAGAGTCATGCTCTTTACCCGTCTGTCCTTCTGCAGGGTTCTCTGGTGTAGCCTCCCCTGTTGGGGTACCTCCGTCGGCGACGCCATCGTCAGTGCCCCCCCCGTCTAGCTTCCGCTTCTTAACTGTTTCCTTGGCATTGTCATCATTCAGGGCCTGTCCCCCCTCGCAAAGTTCCGCTTTGTTCTCCTCTTCGACTTTCTCCTTCGCGTTTTGCAAATTCTCCTTTTCTGCCTCCTGCTCATCCTGAGTGACGATACCCTTCAGTTCGTCGCCTTTTGTGACGGTATCCACCCCGCTGTTCCCATCCGACATCTCAGACTTCTCATTATAAAGCAAACTCTCGTTATTGTAAAAATCGAGCAAATAATCCACGAGGGAATTATTCACAATGTCGCTAACAATGTTATAGATTTTTTCATTAGGGGGTAACTTGGAGCAATATTTTCCATTGACAAAGTTTTTACTCAGATCAAGACCATCGACGTTTTTTAAATATAAGCTTTCATTAAAGGTGAGATCCTCCATTCGGATATTCTTAATTCCGTTTTTGTTACCTTCGATGTTGTTATTCATTTTGTTTGTGGCTCTACTATTTGAATGTATGTTATTGTTTTTTTTTCCACTTTCCGTTTCTTCTCCGTTTTCGCCTACACTTCTGATGCTTACATTTCTGGTTCCCTTCGACCCCGCTGCTTGCATGATGCTTCCTGTCTTGCTTGGGCTGTTCCCCAGGGGGACACTCCCATGCGGGCCGCTCATCAGGCCGCTTCCCATACCGCTGGACATACCGCTAATCGACCCCCCCATCGCCCCCGCGTGCATCTCGTTGATGGGACCTCCGGGGATGAAGCCACCTCCAATCCCGACGGTGTTCCCTACACCACTCCCCATCGCCCCCATGGAATTCATCAAATTCATACCGCCATACGGATGAGACGGAGGAACATGGAAGCTGTAAGAGTTACCACCGGCACCCATCATCGGTGATACATTCATTGCACTGTATTGATTGCCAATCCCTCTCATTGCATTCAGGCTATTCATTCGACCCATGCTGCAGTTTAAAAATGCATTTCCGCTATTCATTCCATGAGGGGGAGACATGCTCATATTGTTGCTTCCCATGCCGATGGCACTGTTGGGATAGTTGTTAACGTCGATGTTTTTTAATGGTCCTTCCATAATTTCTTTCCTCCCTGTGTCCTTTTTTTTGCTCTCCGGGGGGAACTCATCGTTCATGTCTCTGAAGTTGGAGCCATTCATTCGGTTGGCTTCGCCCATTCGGTTGGCTTCTCCCATGTGGTTCATTCGCGACCCCTTGGCGGCCCCCCCATTCGCGTTGCCCATAACCCCCATTTGCGCGTTCGCCATAAAGGGTTTATTCTTGGCGAAGCTCATATTGGAGCTACCCACGACATCGCTCAAACTGTTCATGCCTACATTTTTGTTTGCTGCCAAGGTGGTCCCGTTTTTGACACTTCCACTTTCCCCGCTAATCTTCGCCCCAGTCATGTGGGGTCCATTCCCGATGACGCCGCCCCGACTATGTGGCGGTATCTTGTTGGGGGAAGAAAAATTGACGGGGCCACTTTCCACCTTGCTCATGCTGCTGCTACTGTTGCTGTAATTACCGCCGGCTGATATGTTCCTTTGACCACTAGATACTGCTCTATCCTGATCATTCAGTTCGTTGTATCCACTGCCTTGCGTGGGGCCGCTGCCCATTCCTCCGATGCCTAACCCCCCATTAAGCATTCCATTCCCGTTGGGCAAGTAATTCATTTTTGGGTCCCCTCCCAGGTGCATGGCATTTTCACCGTTTGTAATACCCCCCAGCATGTTGTCTTCGCGGTTTGGGGGGTTTCTCTGTTCGTTCTTCTTCTTCTCGTCGTTGTCGTCCTCCGGGTTATCCTCCTGATGCCCATCATCCATGTGGCCATTTCCACGGTTCTCATTTCCTTTCCCGTCGTCTCCACTGCTGCCGTGGTTGCCTCCACTTCCTCCGCCTCCCCCTGCGTTGCCGCCACCGCTCAGTGAGTTGCTTCCTCCACCCCCGTTCGACGAATTGCTTGCTCCATCTCCCCCATTGCAGTCGTTCCCTTCCGCCATGCAACTCCTGGCCTTCCACCTTTGGGGCAACTCCACCAATTTATCTTCCCCAAGGAGGGGACGCCTCTCCGTGCCACCATATGGGAGATCATCACTGGAGTCCTCCCCCCCTGCAGGTTTTCCAACCTGCAATGATGGCAACATTGTAGTGGACGTGGCTTCAAGATCCCCTCCTTCTTTGTCCTTGTGCGAACGAGCCCGATCATTCTCTTCGCATGGGTCTAGCAGCCCAGTGGGCGACGCCGCGTGTCCGGTGGCGTGGGATCTGTCCAGGCTATCCAAATGGTCGGTCCCCATCTTCTTGCACACAAAATCCCACGCAGCTTTTCGATCGCTTTTTTGCTCACTTGTTTGCTGATTTGTTTCACCGCATGCGGGACTACCCCGGCAAGCTTCCAAGGGGGTGCTACGTTTGACAGTCTGGGTGGTACTACCCCGTGATGGGTCTACCAGACCGTCGCTGTGGGTCAAGCCGTGGCCCCCACCGTCGGGGGGGTAACTCTGCAGGAGGTTGGCAACGCCGCCGCCGGACTCGAAGTGCATTCGCTTCCTCTTGGGCGTCCCCAGCAAGCCTGCTCCCCCTCCTGCTCCCTTGGGGGCTATTTCAGCGATGCACTTCTCCTCCGAATCAAAAAAGAATGCATCGTTTTGGTATTTCAAAAAATTCCAAAGGTCGACATCTTCGTCCGTCCCTTCGTTATAAGAAAAGAGGGGATATTCATTTTTTTCCTTTATTTTATTTGTCAAAACATGACGACTTGAGTCCTTCCAAAGTGGTTCCCTCTCCCCGTTTATAAGGTAATCCATCATCATTGTCGTCGTCGTCAAGCTTCGGCGGATGGCTGGGCATTAAAAACTAAAAAGGGACATACAAATGGTCATTCTAGCAGGGGCCCATTTGTACAAAGGGGTCAGCAAAAAGGAGGTATGCACCCAACTCTTCATCCCTCTCTGATGCTATGCGGCCGTGCCCGAGTGGAAAATAAACCTCGAAAATGGTAATTCATTCGCGCGGGGAGAAAAAAAAGAAGCAAAGAAAAATCCCATACATTGGAAAAACGCGCAAATGGGAAAAACCCGTAAAAGGGGAAATTACAAAAACGTATCAAAATGCGTCAAAAGAAAAAAAAACCAAGAGGAAAAATTGTAGCCTCTTAAAAAGAACAATTGAAAGAATAATTCAGCGTATAAAAATTACCCTTGGGGGAAGAAGAAAAAAAAAAATCGCGAATGGGAAAAATGTATACTCCGCCAATTTTGGAAATATCGCACGGCCAGAAAAAGCTACGTTGGCGGCATTTGAAAATACGGTCATCCGAAGGAGGAACGGAAGATAAAAGTTACTACCGTGCTTGCTTTATAATCACATGACATTTTCGTAAACTTTGATACTGGGAAGTCAATTTTTGCGTCAAGGAACGATTACATATTTCTTAGATGCACTTTTCCTAATTTTATCAAATTAAATATCCCTATTTTATGAATGTTACCACTGTTCTGCTGAGAGGTGAATTAGCATAGCAAAATGTTTCCACCAATTTTGTATTTTTCCTCTTTGGGGAGATACGTGTCCAACTTGGCATTCTTTTTTTTTTCCCCTCCTCACTGATGACAGGCAGAAGTATGCGCTAAGAAGCTCCTTCTCATTTCGCTACAAATGCACGCGTATACATTCGCATAGGCTTTTATGTGTACTTAATGTGTTCGTATTCTTTTCTAGCTGCTTTTACCCCTCAGGGGTGTTGTTGCCGTGACGAAGAAGTTACCTCGCTGGTTGGTCATCCCAAATGATGTACCAGATAAAAAAAGCCACACATGATGCACCTTTTAGAGGATATATATATAAAGGACCCATC